CAGCGGCCGAATGAATGGGGGGCTGCATGTCATTGTAATGCACGGGGACAACTCCCCCTTCTCTGAGCGGACTATGAGGAGGCCGCTGAAGAAAAGCTGCACTCCAGCTCACCCACTCACTCACTCTCACGAGTCGCTTTTGCGTGCACGGCCAGCTCGCAAAACGGAGATTGTTGGGATGAAATGTCGACGCGGTGCTGTTGCGTATAGAAGAGCTTTGATTTTGCGCAAAAAGGGACAAGAGGAGCGCCAACCTACTTTTGAGGATGACGATGGAGCTGACACCACAAGACTGACAACACGAACAAAGGACTTCGGCCTGCATGGGACTTTTCTTTTTCTTCTTTGTGTGTGTGTGTGTGTGTGTGTGTGTGTGTGTGTGTGTGTGTGTGTGTGTGTGTGTGTGTGTGTGTGTGTGTGTGTGTAGGGGGGGGGCACGGGATGCGTTCTCACGTAGGATGTGCTGTGTTATTCTGCGCTATTTTGAGCTTTGCCAATGGGAAACAAACAGGCCTTGCGTCAAATGTAAATGCAGGCAGTTGGTTTTGAGATGTAGATGGGGAAGGAGGCGGTCATTTGGAATGCTTTTTAAAATGGTTAATCATTGCATGAGCCCGAGCTAGAATGCATGCTATTTGCGATTCTATAGGTTCAGGAACGGAGAGTAAATAGCAGCCAAGCGCTGCTGTGGATTGGTCCTCTTTTGTTCGCACGCCGTGGGAGGTGGACACAAGCTCGAAGACAGCAGGGAGGGAAAAAAAATTGAAAATCGAATTCCATCTGCTTCCTGGGCACAAATCGAGTCCTGCTGGACGTCCACGTAACTATAGACTGGTTGTATTTGCATTGAAGTAGTCAGCTAAAATAATGCAATGAGTCAAACATTCATGTGAGCTAACATACATTCCAAAATCATTGAGATGACTATATTCACCTAATAGTGGGGATCGAAAACCCACGAATGTACAGTTTATTTCAATGGAACATACTATTTAATAATTGTGGCTCACAATAATGTGCAGGTCATAAAAATAAGTAAATAATCTGCTCCAAAGTCCTTGGCTTAGCAAGTACGTCCTTTATATTTGCATTGATTTAGTTTTTCTGCACAATGGTGAGTGTGTTTTGGGGTTGTGCTTGACGACGCCGTGCAGTGATAGGGTCAAGGTTGTGTTATATTTTTATATTTGGACGATCAGAATGTGGAGCAAACTGCATGCATGTAGCACGTATATGCACGGGTGGTTCTGTGCAGAATGTTTTCAAGGACGTTCTCGGGGCTGATGAGATTTGCTTTTAATGGAGAGGACGTGAGGAGGGGAGGCGGGAGGCTGGGCCGGGATGCATGACGTCACTTTGTGCCCATGTAATCCTTTTGCGCCGAAACCCAATCAGCATGAGACTCGCGGTTGTCTAGGACGGGAAGAGCCTGGCGCTGTAATCCGGGAGACGGTGGATCACACAACCCGATGTACCGAGAAGAGGACGCAACACAACACAAGACAGGATAGGACAAGAAAAGGGACAGCATCCGTGCAGGGCCGGAGCTCCAAAATTGGTCGAGAAGGCATTCGAAAGGAACCGCTTCAGTTTTAATGAGGACGAAGAGGGGAAGACACCGGCATCTCCCCCGCTCTCACAGTCATCATTTTCCAAAAAGTAGCCTTTAGACCAGGAGGTATCTTGTACACTGGACACGTCACGGAGCATTCGAGCCAAACTGAATGGGACGTACAGTAATCTTCGCAGCGGGACGGATAATATGACTTCGAATAGAAAGAGCATCGCGCTGCTGTGACGCCAGCTCTCTTGACAGTTTTTTGTCTTGATTTGGAGGCGCGACAAAACAGGACTTTTGCGTAAAAGGGGGGGGGTCTTTCGGCGCACTATTTGCCCAACGCGGTGTGCCGAATGGTGGCGCAGTTCCGCCTCCGTAGCATGACGTTGAAACCAAAGTGGCGCATTACAGCTAGTGCGGGCTGTAAATCGGCTTTCGACTTGCTTACGTGTGCACGTTTGTGCTGTGATCGCCAGATTTGAACGCCAAATCCCCTTTCGACGTCGACGTGCGTGTGTCACTCTAATGGTGACGCGTGCGTTCGTGTGTGCCCGCATCCTTTTGGCGGGCAGAAGCTGCATGGTCGACTTTGGTTCGAGGCTGGCGTACACCCTGTTTCCCAACCGTTTTTCGTACCTCCTAAGAACTGGTTGTCACTCTGCGTGTTCACAGCGGACCTTGATTTAATGTCCAAACAATTAAGGCACGCGGTGAATGCCAAGAGAGGAATCGACATGGCTTCGTATGTGTCAAGAAGGTTTACGCTCACCTACTTTGACCTCCTTCAACTTGCAGTGTGAGTGGGGTTTGGGGTTGTCGGTGTGCTGACACCGTGCGCGGTGCGCGTTGCTTTGCCGTTCCAACGGTGCAATGCGTACGTGCAGTTGTTGTTTCCAATGAGGAGGAAAATATGTGATTTGGCACGCCACAATAGGTTTTATTGAAGACGTGCTGCTGATGAATGTAATAACTGTTACTGCTTCAAATCCTCAACTTTTGGAGGTTGCATTAATGCCCCCGTCGCTTCGAATATTTTACAGCCAACTCTTAGCTCCATGTCTCACATTTCCAGTGCGTAAGTAGGCTAGCAACAGCTCCGCACACGATATATTTTGTGTGGCTCCACAGCTCAGGATGGCCTTGGTTCCACATGAGTTTGAGGGGATTCAAAGTGACGACTGCAGTGGTAAAAACCCGCTGGAGTCGCTGCAGAGAAAATCAGTCATTCGACGCCATCTAGTGGCCTCTTCCTGTCAGTGCACATTAGACGGGAGTCGAGATTGGCTTCAAACCAATAGTCTTGCCCTTTATTTTGAGGCAGATCTTAAAAAATAATGCTACTCAGTCAAGTGTATAATTTGCCCATGTTTTGAAGTCTTATACCTTCCAAGTGTACACGTTTTTTCTCCAATGTGAGTGTACTGTTTGAGTGGCAAAATCTTTTTCATGTTAGCAAATGAAGAAGCTTTCGATACATTTCAGCTTAATCGCGGGAAGAACATATTTCAAGTTAATCCAAGTTCAACATGTTTATTTTTGATCCTTTGCAATTAATTGACAAATAAAGTCATGAGCTGCACCGAATCATCTCTGTTGTTATTTGTGCTGAAAAACGACACCAGTGTTTCAATGATGCGAGGAAAGTGTCAGATGTTGCATGTTATTTGCAGGATTTTGAAAGCAAAAATAAATAAATAGCATCTAGATACAGGGATTTGTTCAAAATCATTGAGCCGTTGAATAAAAAACAAACGTCCACCACCACCACGAGCAGTCCCGGCAGTCGTTCAGCACCACGGATAGCTCTACGAAAGGCCCACCCGTGACAAGCCTGAGCAAATAAACAGGATCATGCCTTTCAACCTATCAAATAATTGCCCAGGGGCAATCATTCGAATGGATGAGAAACACCAGAATGTTTACTGTGGTTGAGGAAAACTTTTTTGGTCATATTTATGGACCTCAACCAAATGTATAAACTACCGAAAAGCATTTCCAGTAACGACACAAGGCTCAAAGTAAAGAGACTATGAGGTCACTCGAGGTTAAGGCTACTTGATACACACAACACATGAGATCAAGAACAATTTAATTTGAATGGGCAGTTTATTAAGGCTTGATTTCTTCTATCGAGAACCCCCCCCCCCATCTGCTGAACAATATTTCCATGACTACTGTGGTGTAGAGAATTTTAATTTCCTATTTAATGTCATACATCTGTTCATGGCTAATAATCTCACTGCTCTGCTGTTTGCCGCTAACGTGCACGTCAATCCGGTATACATCAACACAAGCACCTGAGGACCTCGGTGATTGACCCCTGCCACCAGTAAAAACAAAAACAACACCCCTCACTTTTTCCCACCACTTGAATGATGACAAGCAAAGATGTGAAGGCCTTTCAATATGCAGCTCGGTCAAGCAAAGTGACGACAGGACTGGGGGGGGGGGGTTGTCAAGAGGTCAGTTCCCATGGAAACCAGACTTGACAGGCAGACAAAATTGTGTTGAAGCATCAAAAGTCCACAACAGACTCACAAGAATAAAGTGACTACGTTTTTCATCATCTAAAAGCAACATTTCCAACCGGGATAAGATCGGGCAACAGTGTGACTGGCACGCGCATGCCTGTGTCTGTGCTTTAAAGGAGAACTCAAGACAACATTTTCTTTGCAAGATATGTGCCCGAACTAGTCTGAACATGGCATTCTTGTCAATATTGTGGAATAAGACTGAAGACAATTATCTATTTTCATTTATCTCGGGGGGCAATTCGTCTGCTGTCGACTGAAATTGACGTCTTGAGTGCCCACGGGCTTGCTTTGCGAACATCACGTGACCAAACTCAGAAAACGGGTCAGGCGTGACCGGCCGCTTGCAGAGGGCACTTGGACATCAATTTCAGTTGACAGCAGATGGCGGTACAGGAAAAAACATGGATGATAACGTGGATTATCTTTCCACAAACGCAATATCAATCAGAATTCCGTGTTGAGACTAGTGGAAGCAGATAGAACATACCTGAACTCCCCTATCGGACACAAATTCATTTGGAGCCGTCAATGAATGTGCATTGAGTCCGATTTAGACATGGGCCCAAACACAAAAGTGAGACGTGAAGTGTTAGGAATTCACTTCAAGTGAGGATGGCTCACGAGCGAGCGACCGTTTCACACCTTTGATCACCAGCCTACTGAGCGGCATACTGGCCATGTTCCAGTTTGACACGCGCAGGGACGTGTGCGCGCGCGCGCGCGCGCACACACACACACACACACACACACACACACACACACACACACACACACACACTTTTGGTGACTGGGTATTCAAGTTTTGTCATGAGAATCGATGTATCATGTGTAGAACACACAATGATTTTAGGCCTGCAATCAACAAAAAGTCAAACCATTTTTCATTCTTTTTTTTCCTTTTCTTACTCAATGTAAAGCAGTTACAATTATTCTGATTAGGTTATAAATTTTGAGGCCTCCTCCATGAATATATAGGCTTCTACATTAAAGCTTAGCATGGCAGTCAAAATGGACTTGGCTAACTCAGGGTGGGAGTTGTTAGGGGGGCAAAATAACACATGAGGATTAAGACAGAATAGTGACAGATTTCTTGGAGCAAAACACAAAGCAACGACATTTTGATTGTAAAAATGGAAAGTGGTGGATGCATGATGTGGAGAATACATTTTGATGATTTTTTTTTGTTTGTTAAAATGGCGAATCGTGGTCCTGGTTTTTGGAGGACTTTTTTTTTTTTTTTTTTAGTTCTATCCCAGAATACTCCTCTGAAATGTCTCAAGTCTTGTGTGATGTCACACGATCCCTGATTTCTCCAGCAGTGTCACTGTGTTTATAGTTCGATTCTGGGAAGAAAAACAAACTATAGCTCCAGAAAACCAACATTAACGATGTCAGTCGTACACAAAAAAAAAAAAAAAAAAAAAACAGAGAGAATTTGTCAATCTGAATGAAAACTAAAGCAGCTAAGTTTTATTATAGCACAGTTCCAAGTTGCCTTTAGGACGTTCCATCCCTGTTGGTGGTTATACCTCGACAACTTGCCAACGCTGCCCCCACGTGGACAAATAGGGATAGGACATGACCATTCCTGATTGTGCAGAAAAATAAAAGTGGCAGATTTATTCTGGGAGGACACAATCAAAACCTGATGCAGTTGAAGAGATCAGATAAGAGGAGATAGTGGGCGCAAGAAACAACTCGACCAGTCTAGCGAGATGTTAAGGAAATATATATATATATAGTTTTAGACTAAATTGATTTTAAGGAGGTAATTCATAATACACAAAATCAACTCAATCCCTGCACAAGAAGTGTTGGGTGTGGGGTAGAGGGTACACGGGCAAAAGGAAGAACAAATTCATTGACGGCCAAAAAAAAAAAAAATCCCAGAATTGAAGAAAAATCACAAAGGATTTGTTTGCATTTAATTTCTTCTGTCTCTTAAATCAATCATGTCCTCGTGTAACTTGACCAAGCCAAAAATAAACGTCCGCTATTGCTTATTCCTGTTTTGGCGCTCCTGTTTGGGCAAAAATAACAAACAACAAACACACAAAGTGACATTAGTTTCAACGTACAAGTCAAATGCAAATGACACAAACAGTGGAGAGAAAAGGTTTGTCTGACCTGATCCAAGCGAGTGCGGCTCTGAGTCTGAGCAGGTTCAAACGTCTACGGGGAGAGGAGAAAAAAAAAAAAAAGGAAATGAGCAGAAACGGGAACCAGGATGTTTGTCTGATTTTAATTATGAGCTTTTGCTCCAAACAACAGCAGGCCATCATAACCAACAAGATCAATCACTCTTCCTCGAAAGTTAGAGTGGCGCCTTGACATACGAGCAACTCCACTCACGTGTTTTGCAAGATACGAGCTGTCAATCAGGCCTTTTTTTTTTTTGGCTTTGACTTGTCAGCACAACCTTGAGATGAGAGCGCTGACTCAACTCTCTTCACCCTAAGTGCCAGTTTGGCAGATATAAATAATGAAAATTCTTCATAAAGAGGTTTCAAGCGGTTTCTTGTCACTCTCAGCTGAACGGTGCTGTCAAGCAACCACGTAGTCTATCTTAAAGTGTACACACCTGTTTATATCATTTATCAGGAAACATGTCATCCATATGTGTTTTGGTTGCACTGGTTATCTTAAAGCAAGCTTTTTATATATATATATATATATATATATACATACACACACACACACACACACACACACACACACAAATAAAAAAAGAGCTTGCAGAACTTCTGTGCAAGACGCCATGACAGCTAACACGAGACAACAGACAAATTTGCTCCTTCTTGGCTGCTGGGAAGCGGCTGGTTGCCACCACAGGCACTATCTGCTTGTATAAGATTCTGGTCTATGAAAATGCTGTTATGGCAGAATCCAAAAATCAACAAGCAGTAATAGGCCGTTAAAAACGAACATCAAATTCGTCGTTTCAGATTTGAGTCACATCTCTCTCTCTCGCACACCTCATGTCTATGTGTGATGCATGTTTGTGGGAGAAGAGCATGCGCTGTTGTGACACAACGCTGCATTTGAGAACAAAATACAATATTTAGCCTGCTATTAGGCATTCAATTTAACTATGAAGCAGCCAATGAAGGCTGGCTGTAAAGTTTATCAACGCCCTTTTTTTGTTCAATGCTTGCCTCATGCTGTCACAGAGGCAGATGAAGTGAGTTGGGCTGCTTACACGCCGGAGAGGACACCAAAACACACCTGTTAGGGCAGCACTACATAGCAACTTGTACGACAAAAGCAGATGGTTTTAAATTAGTCCAAAAGTATAAGCGCTTCAGAAAATGGATGGATGGTTGATTGGTTGGAAGAACACCCTGGGCTCTGCCGCTTGACAGTGTACGACAGGGGGTCGTAGTGGTTACAGTAAGTAATGGTCTTCAACTTAAGGTTGACGTGCGTTACCTTTAGTGCATATGTCCAGAATGGTTATTTTTAAAAAAAAGTCAATTTGAGCACTTTGGACAACACATGGTTTCGATACATACATTTTAGAGTTATTTTCAAGATCCTCTTATTTGTTTTCAAATCTCTAAATGACCTCACGCCACCTTACCTCTCTGAGCTCATCCGCCCCTACACACCTGCCCGGCGCCTCAGGTCTGCGGACCAGACATTGTTAGAAGTACCAAGAACTAAACTGAGGCTCAGAGGGGATCGAGCCTTTTCTGTTGCTGGTCCCTCTCTCTGGAATGACCTCCCACTGAACATTCGGCAAGCCTCCTCGCTGCCCATCTTTAAAACCCGCCTCAAAACTCACTTGTATTCTTTGGCATTTGACTCAGCATGACTCAGATTTGTTTTTGGTTTTGCTGTTCGGTGCTTTCTACCGTCTTTGTTGCCGATTTGCTTTACTGTTTCTTGTATATGTTAATTGCTCCATGTACAGCACTTTGTATGCAGCGATGGCTGTTTGAAAGTGCTCTATAAATAAAGTTGAGTTGAGTTGAGATAAAGCATGACAAAAGTGTCATTCATAGACCATCATGATAAAATCAGATGTTACATTTTTTTGGACTATGATATGTTTTTGAACTAAAATATAGTTAGTAAGCAATCCATTCAAATGGATTCGGTGGTCAAATGGCCAATGAACAGCCATTTGATGTACGAGTCTAGCCCATAAGCACTAGATGTGACAATATATATGACGACAACAATAACAACAATCTGGCGGATCACTTAATAACAATTGGTGGGTGCAAGGGTTGATATTTATCAAACTTTATAATATTGCTGTATTTCCTCATCAATACCTTGAGATGGGCAGGCGGTGGTACCTCTTCATGCTAACACAATGGGAAAGAAAACGCCATAGACACACGGATTGATGGTCAGCTTCTACATCGTGCTGTTGTTAACAGAGTTGGGGAACTTGAGTCATATTGACTTGACTCGAGTCAGACCGGAGTTGCTATTTTCGACTGGACACTTGATAGCTAAGTGACTCGTGACTTTGTTTTGTTTTGAACTACATGACTTGACAAGTCTGTTTTTTTAGCGTTTAAAATTATTTCGTTACCATTTGTTCACCAAAGCGATTAAAAGTACACCAGCGGTTGTGTGTCTCCAATCCTTACTTTTCGTACAGAGTACCATCCGAGTTCGGACCACCACTAGGTTTAAGTATGGAGTCACCACGCATTGTATACACATTTCTCTCCAAAAAGCCGTGTTCCCAAACCATTGATATTAAAATGAGTGCTTTATCGATGAATTTTGAGCTGTACTCATGCTTTTAAACACCCTGCTATGATTTCGATCACAAATGTGCATCTAAAAATTGTTGGATTCTGAGGCAAGTGCACCCACCTTGCGCACTTCCTCCTCTTCTTCCTGTCTTTTCTCATAGTGAGAAAAGTCATCAAAGATGGAGGTGGTGTGTTTGTAGGTGGCGATGATCTTGAGCACCTGCTTGGCCTTCTCCAGAGGAACCTCCTGCGTGTCGCGCGAGTTGGTCACCGGCTTGTTGTCGTTGTTCTCCAGGCGGATGTGACGGAGCTGGCTATTGGGCACGTCCTTAACAAACACCCAGTCTACGTCAAACTTGCCTTTCCACTTGTCCTGTGCCCAAACACCAGCACTGGTGCCGTAGTCCACTGGCGAACGCATCTCGGCCACGCCGCAAAAATGGCCGCTGCCATTGACGCTGAAGAGCAGATACACGGGGCCTTTGCCGTTCATGGCGCGGAAGGCCGAGTCCAATCGCTTGTTGCCGTGCTCCGTGCTGCACCAGATGGAGTATTTGATGGAGCGATGGATATCGTCCTCGGAGTAGCTCTTAATGATGAACACGCGCCCGTTCTTCAGGTTCCATTCAAAGTCCTTGGGGTTATAACTGTGGGAGGCACGGAGCTTCTCCAGCACTGGGTGGGACTCGCCACCAGGTCCCTGGCTGGCACAAGTCTGGGGGCCACAGCTTGCGCTACCGAGCAGACCCATCATCCCGCTACCGTCGTGGCTGGGACCTCCCTGCCCGTAGACTTGGTTGCGGTTGCGTGGGGCCACCCAACGGGTTTGGGCCTGCGGGGGCTGGCCGTGGTTTTGGAAGGGCTGAGTGGGCGGCGGGTGGTGCTGGGGCGGTTGGTGCTGTAAGCCCATGGGCTGCATCTGAGGCTGCACCAGTGAGGGGGGAGGGGGAGGCTGCATGGGGGCTTGATGGGGCATGGCATGAGGCAGACCATGAGGTTGTTGCTGCTGCTGTTGATGTTGCTGCAGCGCAGCCATGGCCACTTTGGTCACGGGTCCCTTTTCCCAAGTGCCAATGTTCATGTTGTGTTTGATGGGCGGTGGGGGGAGGGCCCCCCCCAGGGTGGTCAGCCCGGGCTTTACCTTAGCTTTCAGCTGCTGCGGCATGGCCGGCTTGCTGGCGATGGCTGCCCAGGAAGTGGGTTTGGATGGGGGCATCCCGATGGGCGTGGCTCCGTTCCCCGTGGCGGCCCCACCAATTACAGAGCCCACTGCCTTGACCGCCGATGCCTGGCCACTGACATCGCCCCCGATCTTCAAACCCACCATGCCCTGCTCCAGGCTGTTCATACCGGGGGCTTTGTTGAGCGTGTCACTGTGAAAGCCCGTCTGACCGTCAGGCACAATAGTGCCTCCAAGAGAGCTGGGCGGGTAGCTGTAGCTTCCACCGTAGGCTGAGCTTTGAGTCTGCTGGCCCTGGGAGCCGCTCGTCCCCCAAGCGGAGAAGGCAGGGTTTTCGGGGAAAAAATTAAACCTGTGAGGGTAAACACTGCTCCCCAGGCCGCCCGGCTGGCCGAAAACCGTGTCCGGCATGAAATGATGGTCGCCATTGCTCAAGGGTCCATAGGGGGTGAGGTATGGAATTGGAGGATCCCCGCCTGTGGACCAAGGAGCCTCACTGAGTGGGTACGGAAAACCGATGGAAGGAGCGTAGTAACTGGACAGGTAAGGGTCGGTGATGGACTGGTAGCTGTTGTTCTTGATGCCGGATGTGAGCAGAGAAGCAACATTAGCACATTACGTTTCATTTGTTCGATTCTTATGAAATGGGATTTACCTGAGTTGACTGACCAGTGAGGTACGGCTCAAAGTCATTGTCATGGACTGTCTCCTTCTGATGCAGCGAACCATTTTGCACTGCAATAAAGCAACTTTGTCAACATATATTTGGAAAAAAAAAAGGTGTGTTTTTTTTTTCTTTTCAAGAACACAAACCCTGAACGAAAAAAGTTGAAACTGTTAAGCAGTCAGTCAATAAATGCCATCTCTGCAGTGTATCAATGCCTCTGTTGCGAATTTGCTTTTGGCCTCTCATGCTGTAATAGCTACCAATGAAGGGAGTTTTGCATCTAGGACCCCAGAGAGACGAACTGACCAGCTAGCTTAGTGATACCTAGGATGATGCTGCTACAAGACAACGAGGATGATTTACTTGACCAAAATTTAAAAAAAAAAAAAAAAAACTGAGAATAAACTTTCATGGGTAAGAATATTTTTGTCTGATTTTTTTTAAATAATGTTCTGTATTAGCACATACTTACTTCCCCCATTTACATCTCCCCCATCAACAAAAATGTGTGTGGTGCATGTATGGGGGAATTAACTTCAAAGAACCAGTGTTGTGTCCAAGGACCGGCAACCCGAGGCCAAGGCCAAGGCCAAGGACTTGCCTCCGAGGCCAAGGCCAAGGCCAAGGACTTGGAAAATTTTCCGAGGCAAGGCCAAGGCCAAGGACTTGAGAAATTTTCCGAGGCCAAGGCCAAGGACCAAGGACTTGGGACTTGCTTCCGAGGCCAAGGCCAAGGACCAAGGACCGACCTTCGGTTCTCGAACTGGTCCTCGCGGCCCAGGGCCGGCTCCA